ACCAAGGCCGTCACCAAGTACACCAGCTCCAAGTGAGCAGCTCACCCTGCTGTTCACCCCCCAACGGCTCTTTTCAGAGCCAACCACAAACCAGAGAGCTAAGAACCTGATAACTGCTGACAGTTACTGATATTGTTTGAATTATTTGACTGTTAATTACAGTTTATCACGATTTAGGTTGATTTGAATACAGACAACACTTGTAGGGACTAATGAAGCAATTTAAGGATTTAAATATCAGAAGAAATGAACAGATATTTTGTTCAGAAAATGGTCTAGAATAATTCAGAATCTTGGTTCTTACCATGTTTGTGAGCTCAGGCCTGTAAACTGATGGCAGTTGTTTTAGTTTGAATCACTTGATCTGTTGGTAATGGGAAGACTACTGCAGTTTTTGATGGATTCATTAAGATGATGGTCCAAGATTTTTTTTTCTTGGTTTTCACTGTTTGCAAGAACCCCCCAGCCAGCTGCTGCTCACTCCCCAACGGCTCTTTTCAGAGCCAACCACCCCCTCAAAGGAGCTCAAGTCCTACAGTCATGTCTATATTATCTACTGTTTGACTATTAGTGGTTCAGTGTCAGTTGATCATTGATTTGACCAACTTGTGTAAATACCTGTGAACTGACTTCTCTATGTAAGTGTGTCTCAAGGTTAATAAATGAGAAACTGATTTCAAACTCACCATTTCTGTCCTAATATGAATATGTGATCTTGGGAAAATGCCATATTAAAGCATAGCTGCCATGTTAACTACAGCCCAGAACTGCTGGGTAATGTTGCCCACTGAGGGCAGGGTTCAAACTGGATTTTATCTTTAAAACTGAGTCCAGTTCTGATTCGCTCTGTTTCTTTTAAGTTAGGCCTCCAATATCAGGTTTGCCACATCAAGATGTTTATGTTCATGCATTTGGCAGACGCTTTTCTCCAAAGCGACATACAGAGTAGACACAACATTACATTTATCATCACTATGACAATAAGCTATATAGAGGAGAAACACTGATCAGAGTCAGTGGTGACGGCAAGAGTTATAGGTAGGGACCACAGAAGGAGTTGTGGGGGGGGTGGAGGTACGGGTTTCTATATTTCTATAGTATTTATTTCATATTGGATATTTTAAAAAAACAATTGGGTAAAACCCTGCGTGGTAAATAAGATAGTGTGACTTTGTCGTTAACTTTATGTAAAAAAGATAATTTGCTTGGAAAACAGAAGTTGAGCTCTGAAAACTAAAGGATTTACTTTTTCTCATGAAAAACAT